TGCAGAAGGGCAACCGGCAGATGTGGGAATCTTTGGAAAACCGTGACACTGCAGAAGGGCAACGGGCAGATGTGGGAATCTTTGGAAAACCGTGACAGTGCAGAAGGGCAACCGGCAGATGTGGGAATCTTTGGAAAGCCACCAAATAGGACTCATATAAGAAATGAAAAATTTCAGATTTCGTTTCTAGCAGCAGTCTTGCAAACCCAGGACGGGCAGTGATGAGAGGCCGAGAAATCTGTTAGGAAGAGGGTTGGCTTTTATCCAGTGTAAATTCTTAAGATCCTGGGCGAGGTTGGCGGCAAAAGGAGCGGAAACAAAGGACCACGTGTGAAGCGTTATGAAGAATGGCTGGTCATTCAGAGACTAAATTTATCACTTCATGGCATTATTCTCTGTAGAGTTAGACTTTTAAATGTTATAAAATGTATGTTATTTGAACAATTACAGTTTGATTAGAATATCCCTCTTCTTTTAATTGTTTTACCTAACACACTTTTCCTTTTTCTGATTTTTTCATTTTGATTTTCTCATTTGCTATTTAGCTCTGGTTGAGGATAAAGCTCAGTGCATCAGTGATTTAGATTGAGGAATATTGACACTTTACAGAATACCAAATGAGAGTTCAAAATTCAGTTACTCTGGGTATATTAAACATTTTTGATGTAACTAATAATTTACCACAGGCAAAATGCAAGCCAAACCCATAGCCATCTAGTTGACTCCAAGTTCTAGCAATCCTTTATAAGGTTTCTGAGGCCAGCCTCATATTTCTCCTGTGAAGTGACTGGTGGGTTTGAACCACTGGCCTTGCAGTTAGAGTACAACACTTACCCAGCCATGCCACCAGGCCTCCTTAATAGTTTACTATTAGTTCTAAAATTAAACAATTTTAATTGCTTTGGTGAGGATACACATTAGATACTTCTCACCATAAGCAATTCAGCTCATCTACAAGACAAATGCAAAGATCTGTCTCCACCTATAATATCTATAATTTTTTTCTTTTTATATACTCATTTATCTTCAGCAGAAGTTATGCATACATGGTCCATCAGAATAACCTACACAGATCTCGGTGGCTGGCATACTATCAGAAAGGTACAATAGCGCAGTCTTGCTCCATTATATGATCTTTCAAAAGTCAAGAACACATAACACTTTAATTTGGGTGCTTACCTCTCAGGGAAGGTTGTCTGTTTTAGTCTCTGTAAAAAAAGAGAAAGTAATTTTACCAGGAGATAATGCCAGTGGAAGAGCCGAGGTCTATTTTCATCCCACTTCCTGTCGGCTTCATTTCAACTTGTCTGTATAACTGTTATTTTTCAAGAATAAAATTCCTGTTCGACTTATCAGGGATCTTCCACTATTTCTTCATCTGTGAAAGCCAGTTCACAAGGGGCAGAGACAGGAGGCCTGGGCAGAGGTTTAGTTAGTGTCCCAAACAAACAACCCTGTCTAGGCTTACCTGCTGAAGAAGTGCCAGGTGTTCTGGGGAGTTGCTGAAATTTTTCCCAATATCAAAGGGGCAGAAGGTTTCCTGCTGGCAGATGCTGACCCAGTCTTGGTATTCCCCTGTGTCAGGAATGCGATCCCAAAAGATCCGATACGCTTCCCACACTGCTTCCTGACATACTGCAATACAAAAGCATTGCGATGGAAAACTGGCCAAGCGGCCACATCCTAAGAAGATCTCCTTCCTTAACTCAAGCACACGTTTATAACACGGGGAGGTCTTTTATGGTTTATGGTGACACTAATTTATACCTCAGAGAAATGAATTAATTTAAGAAAGCTTTATGGAGCAGCCACTGTGTGCTGCTTAGAAAAAAATGGAAGTGTGTGTGTGTGTGTGTGTGTGTGTGTGTGTGTGTGTAAGGTTGAAATTTAAAATAGAGTTCTAGGAAGACCTGACTCTAAAGGTGATGCTTTAGCAGCTTGGGCAAAGCAAGTGCCTCCCGGTGAGAGAGCCCGCAGCATTGCAGCGACAGCCACGAGGTTAGTGCTGATGGGAGCAAGATTGAGAGGGAGAGAAGGTGAAGCCACAAAGATGTCAGGAGGGAAGAATATTGTGTAGCAGATGATAGACAAATAGTCTTCAAACGAGGGTACAGGCAGCCCAGCTTTAATTGAAAACTTTCAAAAGGACGAGCAGGCCCACAATTGAAAGGGAATCAGTGCCGAGGTCCCAACTTCCCAGTGCATGCTTGCCTGCAACTGGACTGCCCCAGGGCACACGCCTCCCTTTCTCTCCCCTTTCGGTCATAATCCTTTCTCCATTCATTTATCCCTGATCTCATTGCCCTTCGGTTGCAACAAGGGAGAATTTGAAAGAATAGTGTTAAGGTTGAGAAAGGAAATGGATTTATTGGAGGGAGGACATAGGCTTTTGTTACTCAAATGGCTCCTGATTTTGGCTTTTAGTTAACAATTAGACTGAAGGACGTTGGCAGCTGACAGATAATTAAAAATGATGATGCTACACTGTGAGATGTGGTTGTTGAGAAATAATGCAAGAGAAATATAAAAAATTAAGTATGTTAATATAACAAAACATTGTCTGTCCCTGAAGAAGTGACTTGGAAGTCCTATCTGACCTCCTCCAGCTTCAGATGGAAGACAGCTCCACCCCAGCTCAGTGCTGATTCCCACACAGAGGCCCGACCTTTCAACTTCCTTTATCTATTCTCATGCCAGCAGTCACTTCCGTGGCACTCCACTTCTATGCTAAGTTTGATCACCCGGCAATGGCACATGCAACTCGCAGACAGTACAATTATGGGATTATTGGGGAAGCTAACTGACTACAAGATATTATGGATAGAATTCTTTAGTTGACAACACAGGCATGTCTTCGTTCTTGGTCTCTCAGTCATGCAGTCACTTGGTCAAAGGTGCACAGCTCCTTTGTGGTTGTTAGGTGCCATTGAATTGGTTCTGACTCTGACCTTTTGTACACCAGAGCCACACATGTCCTGGTCCTGCACCATCGCACAATTGTTCTCAGGTCTGAGCCCATTGCTGTAAGCACTATCAGTCCATCTGGTGGAGAGGCTTCCTCTTTTTTGCTGCCTCTCTCCTCTACCAAGCATGCTGTCCTTTTCTAGGGACTGGTACCACGCTGATAACATGCCCAGAGCACCAGAGACAAAGTCGCGGCATCCTTGCTTCTAAGGAGCATACTGGCTTTACTTTTGCCAAGACATGTTTGTTTTTTATTTTTGTAGTCCATTGTACTTTCAATATCTTCCACCAGCACCCTAATGCAAATGCATCTATTCTTCTTGATTCCAGGCCCAACTTTCACGTGTGGAAAGTTGTGTGACTGAAAAGATCAAAGATTGGGTCAGGTGCATCTTAGTTTGAAAAGCAACCTCCTTGCTCTCAGCACTTTATAGAGGTCTTGTGCAGCACAATCACCCAACGCAGTGTTTCATTTGATCTCTTCACTCTGCTTCCACCAGCATTGATTGTGGATCCAAGTAAGATGAAACCCTTGACAACATCAATCTTTTCTCCATTTATCATGATGTTACCTTTTGGTGTAGTTGTGAGGTCTTTGGTTTTCTTTACATCGAGTCTTAATCCTTACTGAAGGCTGCAGTTTTGATCTTCATTAGCAAGTGCTTCTAGTCCTTCCTCACTTTCAGCAAGCAATGTTGTGTCATCTGTATATCACAGGTTGTTAAGGTTATTACTAGGCCTTCGTCTTCTCCTGATACTGTGTCCTTGTCATATAACCCAGATTCTCTGAATACATATGGTGAGAAGGTACAACCCTGGTGTACTCCTTTCCTGATTTTAAACCATGCACTAGTCAAGCCTCAAGTTGCAGGATTGAAAGACTCTATGGGCAAAATATTGAATGCTGCAGGAAGCATCAAGAGAAGATGGAAAAAGTACACAGTCACTCTACCCGAAAGAGGTAGAATCTGAACAAGAGCAAATGGTGCCAAAGGTAGAACTTCAAACGTAACTGAATACAATAGCCCCAAACAAGGCTTTAGGAAGTGATGGAATACCAATAGGAATATTTCATCAAGCTGATGGGGCACCAGAAGCACTCACTCTTTCATGCCAGAAAATTTGGAAGATAGCCACTTGGCCAATGGGTTGAAAGAGATCCATATTTGTGCCCATTCCAAAGAAAGGTGACCCAACAGAGTTCTCAAACTGTAGAATTATATCATTGATATTGCATGCAAGTAAAATTTGACCGAAGATTATCCAACAAGATTGCAGCAGTACATTGACACAGAACTTCCAAAAGTTCAGTAGGATTCAGAAGAGGTTGTGTAACAAGGGATATCATTGGCGATGTCATGTGGATCTTGACTGAAAGCAGAGAATACAAGAAAGGTGTTTATTTGTCTTTTATTGACTATGTCAAGGCATTCAACTGTGGGACATACTAAACTATAGCCAACCTTGAGAAGAAATGGAATTCCAGAATACTTCATTGTGATCATGAGGAATTTGTACATGGATCAAGAGGTAGTTATGCAAACAGAACAAGGGAATAAATACTACATGGTTTTAAAAATAAGGGTGTGTCAGTGTTGTATCATTTCACTGTTCTTATTCAGTCTGTGTGCTGAGCAAATCATCAGAGAAGCTGGATTATCTGAAGAAGAGGATGGCATCAGGATTCAAGTAAGGCGTACTACCTCACTCAATAGGCAGATGACACAACCTTGCTTGCTGAAAGGATTTGAAGCACTTGCTGATGAAGATCAAAGATTGCAGTCTTCAGTATGGATTAAAACTCAAGGTACAAAAGACCAAATCCTCAAAACAGGACCAATCGGTGACATCATGATAAATTAATAAAAGGTTTGAGTTGTCAAGGATTTTGTCTTGCTTAGATCCTGTGTTAGTCCAGGTAGACTAGAGAAACCAATTCATGGACACTGATATGTGTATAAGAAAGAGCTTTATACAAAAGAGTAGTTGAATATTGAGAACACATCCCAGCCCAGTCTAGATCAAGTCCATAAATCCGATATTAGCCCATATGCCTGATACCAATCTATAAAGTCTTCTTCTGATTCACGAAACACATACAATGATGCCAAATGCAGGAAGATCAGAGGCCAGTGGGCGGGAAGTCTTGTGGATCCACTGGTGGCATAAGCATCTCAGAGCTGGCAGGGATCTCCATGTGGTTCCTCCAACTCCCAGGGTTCTGGCTGCATCAGGGTAGCTTCCTGTGGCTTCTCAAGAAATGTCTTGCAGGGAGTGAGCAGAGAATAGTGTCTCCTGTCTCCAAGGAGGAAATCCAGGAGTTCCCAGAATCCTCAGAAGGCCATGCCCACACAGAGGCCTCATCGGCTATCACTTGATTGACAGGCTAGACTCCACCCCTTCACTCATAATCCTTTCAAATTGACAAATGATTATATAACTACCACAGATCCACAATCAATGTTCATAGAAGCGACAGTCAAGCAACAAAGCCCACATGGAAGAAGCACACCAGCCTGTGCAATCACAAGGTGTTCAAGGGATCAGGTATCAGGCATCATCAGAAGAAAAAAATCTTACCATAGCGAATGAGGGGAGGGAGTGTGGAGTGGAGACCCAAAGCCCGTTTGTAGGCCACTGGAGAACCCCTTGCAGAGGGGTCTCAGGGAGGAGACAAGCCAGACAGGGTGCACTGTAGCAATGATGAAAAATACAATTTTACTCTAATTCCTAAATGCTTCCTCCGCCCCCCATTATCATGATCCCAATTCTACCTTGCAAGTCTGGCTAGATTAGAGGGTGTACACTGGTACAGATAGGAACTGAAAACAGGGCGGATGATCCCTTTAGGACCAGTGGTGTGAGTGGCGATATGGGAGGGTAGAGGGAGAGTGGGTTAGAAAGGGGGAACCGATTACAAGGATCTATGTGTGACCTCCTCCCTGGGGGATGGACAACAGAAAAGTGGGTGAAGGGAGACATCGGACAGGGCAAGATATGACAAAATAATAATTTATAAATTATCAAGGGTTCATGAGGGAGGGAGGAGTGGAGAGGGAGGGGGAAAAAGAGGACCTGGTGCCAAGGGCTTAAGTGGAGAGCAGATGTTTTGAGAATGATAAGGGCAATGAATGTACAAATGTGCTTTACACAATTGATGTGTGTATGGATTGTGATAAGAGTTGTATGAGCCCCTAATAGAATGATTAAAAGAAAAGATCAAAAGATGGATTACAAATCTGCTGTACAAAACTCTTTAGAGTATGGAAAAGTAAGGAAGTTACCTGAGGACTAAGGTGTACTTGACCCAAGCCACTGTATTTTCCATTGCCTCAGATGCAGGTAAAAGTTGGACATTGACGATGGAGGACCGTAAAAGAATCAATGCATCTGAATCGTGGTGCTGCCGAAGAGTAGACAGCTAAAGGGCAAAGGCATCTGTTTTGGAGGCAGTATGGCCAGAGCGTTCCTCGGAGGAAAAGAGGGCAAGACTTTGGCATACGTACTTTGGGCCTAATGTCAGGAGAGATCCGTCCCTGGAGTAGGACAGCAAGCTTGGCAAAGTGGAAGGGCAGTGAAGGTCAGGAAGGTCCTCAAAGAGATGGATGGGCACCATAGCTGTAACAATGGGCTCAGGCATGGGAACAACTGGGAGCATGGTGCAGCACCGC